GAGAGAGAGAGAGAGAAAGAGAGACAAAAAAACAAGAGAGAGGGAGAGAGAGAGATAGAGAGAGAGAGAGAGAGAGAGAGAGAGCCACTAAGTGGGCAACCTTGCATCGCGCCTGAGTTGATAAACGGCAGCGGCGCGATTTCGTCGCGGATGCGGGTCTAGGCCAGGGCGAGGGCGCGCGCGCTTCGAACCGCGGCCAGGTAGCCGGGAGGAAGGCCCATGCGTTCGAAGACGGCAAAATCCCGCGTGCGATTCACGCCGGGGAAGGCCGCCTTGATGCCAAACGCCGCAGAGAGAGGCATCCGACAGTCAGCGTCTTCATGGGGGCCGACCACTATCGCGCGCGCAGCAAGCTTGGTTATGTTCTGACAGAAATTGCGGCCTATGATAAGCCCCATGTTGGGTTGCGTGCACATAATTCCTGGGCTAACTTTTCTTGCGGCAAATTGATTGCTGACGCCGTGGCGGTGGCGTCGCAAAGAGATGGCGGGCGCGCAGCTGATGCGTCGCGATGGCATTCGGGCGCGTCGCCGACCTTGTCGCCCTTCGGCGGGAAAACAGAAATCGATTGGTTCGGTGTGTGCGTGCGCGTGCGCGTGTGCGTGGCGTGTGTGTGTGTGTGTGTGTGTGTGTGTGTGTGTGCGTGTGTGTGTGCGTGTGTGTGTGTGCGTGTGTGTGTGTGTGGGGGGGTGGGGGGGGGGGGGCAGGCAGGGAGCTGAGAAGGCGAAGAAAGATGGCGTGGAGACAATCGATAGTGGCTGGGGCGGCCAGCCATGCCTTGCGCGAGAAGCAGCCGGGGCCAGGTGCCCAATTCCGCCCACGCTTTTTGACTTGAAGGAGAATGTCCTTGGATGGGGGTCGGCAGGTCAGCAACTGGGAACGCCGGCGACACTTCGCCCAGGAAGGCTGCGATATCAGCGCGAGAAACACGTTTGTCAGACCAGATCGGTGACCAGTGGAGTCGGAGAGCGCGGGAAACGTCTTCGGGCTCTCTGGCCGCCGGCGGGGGCAATGAGCCCCCATCATTGAGCCTCGGGCGTTGGGCAATTTGACTGGTTGCGATGCCGCGCCGGACAAAGCGCTTAGAAAATGGTGCCCAGAGCGCCGCGCGGCGCTGGGGAGTGCTTTGGATGCGTCGCCGCGCTCGGGCCGCGCGAGCAGCCGCGAGACGCCGGGGTCGCTCGCGCCATGTTTACTGCTGACAACAGCGTTTCGAAACTCAGCCGCGTCGCGCAGCTGTGGGGGGTGGGGGGGCGGGGCCTGGAACGTCCCAGAATTTTCGCCCTTGCTCTGCGGTCGCAGCCAGTTGGCGAGCGGCGGCGAGGTCAGAGCGCCAAGTGGCGCGCAATGGCGCGGAGTGTGAGCCTCCTACCCTTCAGCGCGCTGACGTCGCCCGTGCCCAGCGGAAGCTGCTGCAGCTCGTTGCGCGCCAGCTCGGCCGCCAGGGTCACGATGTGCTTCGTGACATCGAAGCGCCGCAGGTCGGTCATCGCGTCGTGTTCAGCTTCGCTCGGCATCATGGCGAGGAGAGTCTCGTGCCGCTTAGAGCGGAATCTGAAACCTGGGATCGGCGGCGGTCATTCACGGGCGGCTTGCGGTTATCGATCGCGAGCTTGATCGCGGCGTGGTCACTGGGCCTCCTGTCTGATGGCGTCGCCGAGTCCTGGGCGACGTTGAGCCGGCAACGCAGGCGGGGGGCGAAGGCGGGAGGGGTGGCCACAAAGACGCGATTAAGCGCGGCGCCCGTCCAGTGCTGCTCTGAGAAGCCGGTCGGGATCTTAGAAATGAATTTCACCATGTTCGTTCGGGCCAGCTGTCGCCAAACTTGCTGGTTCCTGTGGAGTCTGCCCTCTTGCGTCTGATGTTGTTGACGCGCTTGTGACATGAGGTGCGCTTGCGAGGGTGTGTCGGAGAAGTTGAAGCCACCCATCGCGACGAAAGTGAAGCGCAACGGGTCCGGCGGCGCCCGCGTGGAGCGCGTCGTCCACTCCTCTCGCTTTTCTGGTCAGCAGTGATGTCATAGTTGTGCGCGCCCAGGATGCGGAGCTCTCGCTCGGCGGTGATGTTGGGGGCCGCGAGGAGCTGAACGCGCCCGCCCAGGATCGTGCGCGAGGTGGTCGTGGGGCGCGTGGCCGAGGGAAGCCGTCCAGCTGCTCGGTCTCGTTGAAGCGTCTCACTCACTGCGCGGGCAAGCCCGGGCGCCGCGATGGCAACTCCTCCAGCTCCGCGCTTGTCCGCGCCATGCGCGGCGAAGCACCCCGAAAAGAAACCGGAATGAAAGGTAGAGTGGGAGGAACGTGCCAATGACATGTCCAATTCAGCTCGAGAGCCATGGCGCTCTTGAGCGAGAATGATTGGCCGCGTCTTGAAGGCGTTCTCGAGCTTGCGGAACTTCTGCCGGCATCGCAAATGATTGGGGCATGGGGTCCGCGAGCGTTTCGCGAGACAATTTGCAGCTGCGCGTCGTGCTTCGCGGCCTCCCAAGGGCACAGTTTTTGTTTAACGGGCCACGTGGATGTATCAATCGAGACAACGACAGCCTCGAACTTCTGCATGAGCAGGTCTTTGTTGATGCCCATGTTGTTGACCGCCACTGGATTCCAATTGGGCTTCGAGTGTTCCCGTAGACCATGTGGTTGAATCTCCGCGATAGGCATCGCCCCTTCCTGCGCGATGCCTGACTGCCTCAGCGTCTCGAAGTCCATGCCAAGGAAAAGTTCCACGAGGATGCCCGCGACACGCATGGTCTGGAGCTCCCTGCGGACCGGCTTCGGCGACGTGCCGCTGGGTGCGAAGGGCGGGGTGTTTGCGCCGTGGACATCGGGTGCTGAGAAGATCCACCATCGCCCACCCATAACTTTGCGCGCAGCTTCAGGGCCTCCGAGTACGAGTAAGTGAAATCGACGTGCTGGGGGCATCTTCGCATAGTTTGACATGTTATGCTATGAGTTGCGCGTCCTGGATCCACTGCGCTGTGGCGCGTCGAACTTCAGCGTGCTGTCTGTTACTAGGCGCTCCGCTCTGGAAGAGCACGGGGCTCGGCTCCCGGTCATAATTTGCCACATTGGCGAGGTCGACGGAATGTAGCTGGGCTTCCGCGAGCAATGCTGCTGCTTCCAATCTGCGGACGGCTTGGCGAAGGTCTTTCTGTTCTGCTACTTGTTGGCCCTGAAGTCTGCACATGCTGCCGAGGTCACGTTCTGCTTGTTCAAATCTAGCCTGCTGCGGGGCGTAGTACTGTTCGGTTGTGGTGCGAAAATCATGCTGGACATTTGCCCAGGTGGAGTCGAGGAGGTTGCTGACCTGCTGTGTGGCCATTGCGAACAGCGAGTTGCCGACTCCTTCGATGGCGCGAAATAGGTCTTGTGGAACGGGTCCTTGCGGAAACCGAAGGAGCTGTGAACGTTGCCCAGGTGGTCCAGGGACGTCTCGCTGAGGCCGGGGGGGGTCGCGGAACTGCAGGCTCGTGGCTGGCTGGCGGTGTGGATGGTTGTGGATGAGCTGGACCTTGCGCAGCGCCTGCTCGAAGTTCGTTTGGTGGGAACGTAGGGGCCATTGCAAGCTGCTGTGCCAACTCGGCGGCTTGGACTTGGATATGGAAGTGCCTGGGGCTCGAGGCTCGGACCAAGACTTCGATATTGAAGTGCCAGGGGCAGACCTCGTCTTGGAACTCTTGATGCGCTTGAGTGCGCGATGGGAATCGGATGGGAGCCTACTCCGCAGAGGCAGAGGAAAGGGAACCGGCTTGGCCTTGAGCCAACGGATGATGATGACAATGATGATGTTGATGATAATGATGATGATGATGATGATGATCATGATGACCATGACGATGCTGATGATGAGGATGGTGATAATGATGATGGCGAGGAGGAGGGGGCGGATGAGGAGGAAAAGGTTGAGGAAGGAGAAAGGAGTGGCCCCGCCGCTGCTCGTTGCTGGAGCGGTTCCTCCTCGGGCTCCTTCTCACGGGGGGGGCCTCGGGGGGCGTCGGCATCGAGGCGCAGCCCGGCGTCACCAGCCTGGTCTCGAGCAGAGTTCCTTCTGTGGGCCACGCGCAAGAGTGGGATAGGGGGAGGGGGAAGGTTTCTTTGAAGCACTCCTGCTTCTTAGAAGGTGCGGGCCTCGTTTGTACTTGCGAGGCCCGCGCCTCCTAAGAAGCAGCCTCCCTCTAAGAAGCCTTCCCTCCCTCCCCCCCTGCCCTCCCTCTACGCGTGGCTGACTGTTGGCGGCGACGGCCGCCAGGCTCTGCGGGGACCTTTGCCCCGGGCGCCTGGCGCGAGGTCGGCTCTGGGACCTTCGCAGCGCCTGCAGGGCCCTTGCCGTACTGGCAGCGCGGACATCTCCACAGGCTGTCATTGCCGTTGCCATTGTCCTGCAAGGTCGGGGAAGTTCACCAATTTCTGGTCGAGTTGTCGCTGCCATTGTGCAGATGAGCGCCGCGCCGACGACGAGTGGAGTAGTCCAGTTCTGGGGCGCAGAGTAGGATATCATAGCTCACGAACAGGTAAGCTGAATACGACCTTGACTTGCCTGTGCAGCGTGTCGTTCTGAAGTTAATGCAGGAAAGGCCCTTCATCCAAATTGATTGGAACTGAAATCGGTTGAGCCAAAATGGTTGAGGATGCGGAGCCAAAAGAGCAGGGGAATGAGGAGGGAAGGGTGGAGGGGGGAGGAGAGGAGTGAAAGGATGTGGAGGGGGGGAGAAAGGAGGGAGGGGCGAGGAGGACGAGGGAAGACAGTTTGGGAGGTTGGGTTGCAGGAGGAAGTGGGAAGATAGGGAATGTGAAGGGGGAGAAAAGAACAGGATGATGGGGACGGCGCAGGAGGTGGAACAGGAGGGAAGGGAATATGATGAGGAAGCGGAGGGAGCAAGAGGACGCATGATTACCCACCGTTGCATGAAGCGCCTGCTTCGAAGATCCTGACCCTTCATCGCGGGCGCGACAGAAAAATCCAAAAAAAAACATAGCTTCTGAATGTCTCCGCGAAGCACCAGCTCAACGCGTACCAAATCGTGCCATCTTGCCGCTGCGCAGCGGGCTGCCTGTGTACAGCGCCCAGTCGCCCCATGCGGAACCAGTCAGACCGTCCTGGAAAAACATGCCAATGATGGCCACCATTGCCAAGCGCCCGTTCGAGACCTCGGCGCTCAACTTCTTCGCCCGCAACTTGGGGTCCGTGATGGAGCCTCCGAGGCCGAGCGAGCCCAGGCCCAAGTTCCCCTTGCCGTAGTTGCCTGGCTCGGCGCTGGGCTTGTTGTACACCAGCTCGAGGAAGGCGATGAAGGCCGCGAACTGGGCCAGGCCCGCTGGGGGCACCTTCGAAAGAGCGCCCAGCCCGTTGGGAACGTCCTCGAATCTGATTCCCTCGGAGGGAGACAGGTAGCCAGGGAACTTGTAGTACTCGGGCACGATGTAGCCGATGGTCGCCAGCATGGAAACACGGCCGTGCTTCAGCTCCACCTCCCTGCGGCGCTTGAACTTCTCTACGTCCCCATCCTTTGTGAAGCCAGCGGGGTCCCAGAATCCCAGGGGCTCCTGGTCGCCGACCGAGCCCTCGAAGCCACTCGCGACGCCCTCCCACTCCGGCAGCGTGTTGTAACCGGGGCTCATCTTGCCGCTCTGCAGTGCACTGCCGTGGTAGACGTCCCAGTCGCCCCACGCAGACCCGGTCAGGCCGTCCTGGAAGAACATGCCGATGATGGCCACCATGGCCAGGCGCCCGTTGGCGATCTCGGCGTTCAGGGCCCTCTTGCGACCCTCGGGGTCCTCGATGCTGGCGCCGGTGAAGCCGAGGCGGCCCCTGCCGTAGTTGCCCGGCTCGCCCGGCTTGGACTCCCCGTTCACGCAGGTCTCGTAGAAGCCGCACAGGGCGAGCCACTGCAACCAGCCCTCGGCGGGGACCTTGCTGACGGCCGCGAGGCCGTTCGGCACGTCCGCGAACTTCAGGTCCGAGGAGGGCGCGAGGTAGCCGGGGAACTTGGCGTACTCGGGCACGATGTCAGAGAAACCAACGCGAACATAGACATAACTCCTCGGAGGTCTGCGCGGATTTCTTGGATCGGCGCTGGACTCCTCTCCCTGGCGCGCGGGGCGCGCCAGGGGAGGCGCCGGAGGCGCTGCCAGGGGTCCAGCGCCGATCCAAGAAATCCGCGCGGACCTCCGAAAAAGTATGCCTACGCCGCTTTTGTTCCTCGAGCTGTAGCCCATGCACGCGAACATGGCGACTCGGCCGTTCTTGTCGGCGGCGGGCGAGGGGGGAAGGTGAGAAGGACAAGGCCCTCTCAGAAGGCGGCTGGGCTTTTCGGGCACCCTCCAGCCTTCTGAGAAGTCTTCTGTGCCGTCGTGGATGGCCCAGAAAACTTCTGAGAAGGCTGGAGGACTTCCGAGCCTTCTGAGAAGGCCCGCCTCTTCTCACTTCTGGGGGGCCAAATTGTACCGATACCACTACCCCCCGGACCTCTCCCGGGGTGTGTTCTGACCAGAGTGTCGAGGCGAATCCAGCGGCGACGACGAGGGCCTCCCAGGAGGCCGCAAAAAACAAACACGGGCGAAGGGTAGCGATATGGGCACCTTGTCCTGATCTGAATTGAGCAGGGACCGACCGTCCCGGCAATCCTATAGGCCTACCACTAAATGTTTTTAGAACCCAAAAATGTTCTACGTACAATAACAATGTTCTCAGAACGGTTAAACCCGATGTGATAAAACAAGACAGTCCGAACATTGTTTGGTAGGCCTGTAGGCACGCCAGGACCCTTCGTCACTGCTTGACTGAACTTCCCCCCCGAGCTCGCCGCCGTTCTTGAGCTCCGCCTCGCGCCGCCGCGCGAAGTCCTCCACGTCGCCGTCGGCCGCAAGGCCCAGGGGGTCCCAGTAGCCCACGGGCGCCTGGACCCCGAGCTCGCCCTCGAAGGCGCGGCGCGCGGCGGGGGCGACCTCGGGCGACAAGAGACGACGGCGACGACGATGTCGACGACGAAGACGACCGAGGCGACGACGAGCACAGCAAACCGCCACCCGCCCACGTTCCACCTCGGGCGCAAGGCTAGGGTTGGCATCGGCTCGGGACGGCGGGGCACGCGCGGGCGGGCTGCCTCTGCCGCGCGGCGCGCGGCAGAGGCAGCTCCGGAAGGCGGGCGGGTGGACCGGAAGTGCCCGCGCGCGTCTCGCCAAGACCTCGAGTTCTCGGACCACGTCGGACCGAGGTGTGTGCCCCCCTCCCCCCGAATGCAAAGCCTTCAGAGCTGACTGGGGGTGGGATTGCAGGCCAAAGGCCAGGGACGGAATGCGGACAACCCAGCTTTGGGCTTGGGGGGAGGGGTAAGAAGCAAGGGCGTTTCGCAGTTGTGGTTGTTATCAGGTTGCATCGCCTCACTGCCAATGGTGTGGACACTGTTTGTCCGGGCACCGGAGGTCTCCGTCAGAACGGCTTGCGGGCAGTTATAGCCCGATGAAGTACAATCGGACCTGGGACAAAATAACATCCTTCAAGAGCATGAGTCCCTCCGCCGGCCGAAACAAACAGAGCATCCAAGGGTACCCTCCCCAGGATGCACAAGAACATCCAACAAACGCGGAAAACACTAGGGTACCCTCTCCGAACCGAACCGGCCTCGATCTTATACCTCGGTCCGACTGTACAGGAACAAACAATGGCACACGCGTCAATTATCGGAGCTCCGCGCGGATTTCTTGGATCGGCGCTGGGTCCCCCTGGCGGGAGGGGGAGGGGGGGTCAGCACAGATCCAAGAAATCCGCGCGGGCATCCGACACTTCATATTGATGCAGTTTTTTGCTCTTCGATCGAGGGGCCATTGAGCCAGATGAGGCTGGATCGAGCCCAGGATTAAGCTGGACCGAGCGGGATGAAGCAGGATTCAGCAGGAGTGGGCCAGATTCGGCCAGTTCTTGACCAGGGATATGCCAGCGAAAATTCTAGATGTGACCTCCCAATCATTGCATCCTGCGCTTCGCCGCCCCGATGCGCAACACGCAACCCGTAGCGTATAGGCACGGCGCTCTACACGCAGATTGAGGACGTTGGCCCGGCGCGACACGTTCGCCAAGACGTGGGCCAACGCGTGTCGAGCCAACACGCAACGTGTTGACAAGGACGGTCTGAATACGGTGCATGTTGCGTTTCAGAACGAGCGTATCGCGGCGGCGAGCCCGGGGAGAAAGTGAGAAAGGGGCGGGCCGCCTTCTCAGAAGGCTCGGAAGTCCTCCGGCCTTCTGACGGGTTTTCTGAGCCTCTCCCGAAGACGCAGAGCACTTCTCAGAAGGCCCGAGGGCTTCCGAGAAGCCCCGCCGCCTCCTGATCCAGCCTCCTCCTGTTTGCTTTCCCCCAGGCGCGCCGCCGAGATACGCAAACATGCTGAACAAAACTGTCCCTGGACCCGTTTCGGGGCCCATCTGGTCAGCTTTCCATCCCAGATCCGTTCTTGACGGCCCCGGGGCCCGACCAAGGCCCGCCGAGACTGAAGAGGGCACAGAACACGTCGAGGCACGCACCTCGACCCCCCGATTAGCCCCAAACGGACTCCTAATCCTGTGGGAGGGGACCCAAGTAGGAGGGCCAAAAACGTTAGGGATAAGGGGGTCTTGTCTGCAGATGTATCAGACCAGACCGCCCAGAACTATCATCCCTAATGCGAAGACGGGGACCCAAGTGAGGCCACGTCTTCATCGTGTTATTAGGGTTCAGGGGTTCTTTTGTTCTCGTTTACTCCCCCCCCCCCCTCGCCCGCCGCCGAGTACCAGGGCGGGAGGAGCAGGAGGAGGAGGAGCAGGAGGAGGCGGAGGAGGAGGCGGAGGAGGAGGAGGAGCAGCAGGAGGAGCAGCAGCAGCAGGAGGAGGAACGGCAGGAGGAGGAGGAGGAGGAGCAGCAGCAGCAGCAGGAGCGGGAGGTGGAGATCCGGAGCGACCTGCTTGGAGCGGCGGGCGGCGGAGGCCGCCAGGGCCACGGAGGCCGCGCCGCAGGCGAGGGCGGCGGCGGCGCCCGAGGGCGCGGGGCCCTCCGGGGCGGCGCCCGCCGCGCCGCGCAGGCCGCGGGCCTCCGCGGGCGACCTCTCGCGAGCGTTCGGTCGGGCATGTCCCTCGGCAGGAGGGAGGGGGGCACACGTAGCCAGAGAGAGCACACTGGAAGGGGGCCTCTCGGGCTGTCGTCAGGCCTGCGCGGTGTCCACAAGAGCGGGAGCGCAGCTGAGCACGGGAGGGCGTGCAGGCAGCTACGGAGCTGGGACATGCAGAAGCAAAGTGCGGACGACGCTGCAAAGACCGAGGAGACCAGAGCATTAACAGCGCGAGCACCACATCTGCACGATTTGTTGATTCTCATCTGACTATGTTTCAATATTATTTGGCCATGTCTGAGAACTTTTCTCCCACATCCGCCTGCAGGAGGACATGCCCGACCTAACAGGAGCGGCGAACACTGAAGGCGTCTGGGGACACGCAGATAAACAAAGACATGATTCAAATTTCTTTATCCAGTCCTGTCTCAGTTCCCCCCCCATCTACTGTCCACTGTTGGCGTTCCAAAGATAGCGTGCAACTCCAATATCCGAAGAGCACGCTCTGGCCCTAGATGAGGCCTCCCCTTTGGAGTCCTCGGGCCTCAAGCGAAGCGGACGACGCAGCTGCCACAAGCTCGTGGCCTCCATCCCCGCGCGGGGACAGGGGCCAACGGCGGCGAGAACAGGCAGTAACGGCGCCATAGACGAGAACGGAAAGGCAGGCCAGGAAAACAGAAGCCGCAGGGAGCCGCGCCCCACGCGGCAAGGGAAACTCCTGAGATATACGCTCGCTTTCACATCCCATACTTTCTGGAATCTATCTTCCCCCCCGCTTCGTCTATTTTCACAGATCTTCCAAGACATCGACGAGTATTTGTAGATGTGTGTCGTCTTCCCCTCTTGAAGCATACGAAGCCAGGACGGGGACACAATCGTGTGAGGATAGATCGAGAATCTCTGAGATCCAGCGGCTCTGGAGGATGTCTCGGACGCCGCGGCCTTCTCAGAGCTTTCCGGAGCGCTCTGAGAGCGTTCCAGAGCGCTCTAGGACGGACTTAGCCTCGTCCTAACCCCATCCGAATATCCATATCCGCGCTCGGGGACGCACTGACCCGGGTCAATGCATACCCGGGTCAACCAGGCTTTGCAGGGTCCTGCGAGATCCTGCAGGATTCTGCGCGCAAGCCCGGGTCAGTCGGCAGAGGGAAGCCATTACTGAACATTCCCGCTCCCCCAAAACTCAAAGTTGGCACGCGCGGGGGAGACTGCGGTCGAGGTGCAACTCATCAGACCCACCGCCAACCTTGAACATTGGGGAGCGGGGGAGACGTTGACAGATGAAGGTGGCGTGAGTGCTCGCTGTTTTTTCCGAGGCCTGGTGCACCCCTGGCTCTGCAGGACCCTGCAAAATCTCCGGCTCCGGCTGACCCCCGTCTGCGTCGGCCCCCGCCTCGGGGCCCCCGACGCGCCCTCGCGGTCTGGATTCTGGGGCCCGCTCCCCGCGGAGCGGCGGCAGCACGGCCGCACGCTCCGCGCGGGGCACCCGTGGAAACGCGCCCCCTTGCCGCGGGGTCGTGGCCTGGAGGCGCTGCCCGCGAGCAGAGGCAGACACAGCGGCTGGAAACACAAACACTTCTGGCGCTCCGCGCGGCGCGCCCGCAGCCTGTGTTCATACCGCTGCTCCTCCTTCGAGGGAGGCCGCGGACACGGAGCTGTTCTTGAGCAGGGACCGACCGTGACGGCATTGCTATAGGCCTATCACGACATGCTCCTAGAACCCTCAAAAATGTTCGAATTCGCCGGCCCAACGGGCCAGAGGCGTGCTAAGATCTCCGGTAACTACTAACAATATTTCTAGTTCGCGCGCGCGGGTCGGCCCCTGGGGGACCCCGGACGAAAAGTACCCCGGCCGATCCCCGGCTGACCCCCGGGCGATCCCCAGGGGGGAGGCTATTTTTCGCCACCCCTCACGAGGATCGTGGCCTCCGAGGGGGTGGCTGCAATCGACTACCCCCCCCTCCTGCCCCAAGGGGCCCCCAAGGGGCCCCCAAGAGCCCCCCAAGAGGCCCCAGGGGAGCCCAAGACGCCGCCGAGAAGCCCCAAGAGACACCCACGATGCCCCCAAGAGGCCCCTAGGAGGCGCCAAAGAGGCCCCCAAGAGGCTTCAAAGAGGCCCCATAGAGCGCTCAAGGGCTGGCGGAATGAGCGAAGCGATTACATAACAGCAACAACGTTCTTAGAACATACACCCGATGCGTTAACACAAGATAGGCCCAGCCAGAAATGTCCTGAGAACATGTCGTGGGAGCCACAGAAGGCTCTTAGAGCATTGCCTTGGTAGGCCCACCGGCACGCCGAGACGCTTCGCCACCGCCTGCGTTTTCTCTTCGCCCGCGGACCTCGCCGTGGCGCCCGGGAGGATCGGGGCAAAGGCACCGCCGGCCTGCCAGAGCCCCAGCGCCGCGCCCCCGGCCAGCAGGGCGGCGTGCCGCTGCGGCACGGCCGGCGCCATGGCTGGCCGGCGGGGTGCGGCGGGAGGGTGCAGTCGGCCCGTCTGGCGAGGACGCGCGACGCGGATGCAGCTGCGGAGGCCTAGGCTGCATCACAGCAGCAAGTCGGCCCCTGACCTTCGTCCTGGGCTCGGTGTAGTGGAGTGATGCATTTCGGGGTCGGGAAGAAAAGATTACTTCACTACTCCAGGGCCCCTGGGGCCTCAGTGGGCCTTGGAGTCCAGCGTTAGTGACGTGATGGTTTTCGGGCCTCGAAGCAGGGGCCTTGGGGAAGGAAACATCACTTCACTACTCCGGGGCCCCTGGGGCCTCAGTGGGCCCTGGAGCCCAGCATTAGTGACGTGGTGGTTTTCGGGCCTCGAAGCAGGGGCCTTGGAAGCCCATCTCGAAGCTTTTCGAGCGGGGCGCGGCCAACGAGAGTGGCCAAGGGTGGACCGAGGAGGCGAAGATGCGAGGGTGCACTCCTTACCATGCGGGTTGACTGTAACCAGCCTCGAACTTATCCCTATCCCTGAGATCGGCGAACCCAAGGCGATGACAAGTATAGGGATGTGCGCTCAGAAGCTGGGGGAATCCTTAAGATCGGCACCAATGTAGGGTGATGCCAAACATAGGGGCAGGGATATGTTTCAAGCTGATAAGAAGTGGTGGGGTAGCACAACAAACCCTAAAATGTGCCTCGAGCCAAAAAAGGCTGCGGCGGGAGGGCGCGGGAGAAGGAGGAGAGACGACGCCACTCGGGACCGCGGCCACGACAAGCCTCGGGCCGATGTATGATACTTCTTCTGGTCACTCGCAGTCGGCACTTCGGATACTCCTACACATAGCGTGAGTGACAGAGAAGGGAGAGAGAGAGAGAGAGAGAGAGAGAGAACGAGACAGAGAGAGAGAGAGAGACAACGAACAAGTGTGAGAGAACATTTAAAAACAATATGCGGTGCGCATCAGTGGGAACGCTTGTGTCCATCCTGAGGTCACTCTTGGAGCCTTTCTTCCCCCCACTTCGGCGGCGCCGTGAGGAAGAGGGGAACGATGCGAGTCCCATGGTCTCCCTGGGGAGCCACGAGATGAAAGAGCGGCCACCCCAGCCGCGGGGTGTGTCACCGCGCGGGTGACATTTAGCCTCGAGTTGTTTCAGGGCTGTTGTACGGATGCGGCTAATCTTCCAGTTGACTGGGCCTCTACAAGTCTCCATCAAAACGGGAGATTGCCTAGTGGATGCTGATTCACCACGTGTAAGACAAGAAGCAAAGGGGCGTGTGGTGACAAGATGATGTTCACGCACAGGCCCGCAGGAAGCCTCAAGGGCGATACTGTACACAATGGGCCCCTGAGGTGACTGGATCGGCACTAGGCAGACCGGACACAGCACCGCCAGCACGCACGGCCTTGCTTCCGGCCGTCGCAGTGGCAGCCTCCGTGAAGGCCGCCGCGTCCGCAGACTCCCCAGACCGGCCGCTGGCGGGGATCGGACCCCCAGCGGCCTCCCCCGACTCTGCGGGCGACGCGGCAGGAGCCCAGGGTCTCGCGCATTCAGGATGGCCAACCTCAGGCCCCAAGAAGCGGTCGGCCGCTCGGAAAGCGATGGCGATAGCCTCCGAGGACGAGGAAGGGAGGGAGGCGCACGTCGAGGAGGAGCCAGGGAGCTTCTGCCTGGCACGAGCCATGAGGCGCTGCAAGGCGGAGGGCGCGCAGGTTGTAAGCTCAAGCCTCAGCAGCGCGGCCTCATTCGAAGCCCGCGCCGTGCACTGCGTACAGATCCAGCCCAGTGTGAGGAAGAGGGGAGCTGACGAGGAGGAGAAAGTGCAGGGGGCGAACGGCGAACGAGGTAGGCAGCGAGCAATGGGACGCCCCTTTGGTGACCACCCAAGGCAGTCGGTCAACATCGAATCGGGGAGTCGAATCGAATCAGAAAAGTTCGGAGGTGAGGGGTTGAGATCGAAGTGGAACGGAAAACCCCTCCTTCCGGGAAACCGATTTCGGTTTCGTGTTCGTGCGTGCCGTGCGCGCGGGCGAGGCGAAGCTGCGTGGGCGGGCGAGAAGAAAGTCTCCTGTGGCTGAGGCGCGGCCGGACCAAATGATTCCCTTCCGGCGTGCGGTGGCGCGCGGTGCCCCGCTTGTGTCCCGCTGTGGCTGAGGCGCGGCCGGACCAAATGATTCCCTTCCGGCGTCCAGTGGCGCGCGGTGCCCCGCTTGGGTCCCGCTGTGGCTGAGGCGCGGCCGGACCAAATGATTCCCTTCCGGCGTCCGGTGGCGCGCGGTGTCCCGCCGGTGTCCCGCCGGTGTCCCGACGGTGTCCCGATGATGACGGTGATGATGACGATGACGACGATGATGATGATGATTCTGATGATGATGATGATGATGATGATGATGATGATGATGATGATGATGATTATGATGATGATGATGATGTTGACGATGTTGATGATGATGATGATGATGATGATGGTGGTGGTGATGATGATGGTGTCCCGATGATGATAATGTTGATGGTGATGTTGCTGATGATGGTGATGGTGTCCCAATGATGATGATTCTGATGATGATAATGATGATGCTGATGATCATGATGATGTTGATGATGATGAGATGATGATGAGATGATGACGATGATGATAATACAGATGATGATGCTGATGATGATGATGGTGTCCCGATGATGGTGATGATGATGGTGATGATGTTGATGATGATGGTGATGAGGTGATGATGATGATGGTGTCCCGATGATGATGATGACGATGTTGATGACGTTGATGACGATGATGTTGTTGATGATGATGACGTTGATTTTGGTATCGATGTGATATCGATAGTGAGATCGATAGTGAGATCGATAGTGAGATCGATCGTGAGACCGATCGAGTGAGACGTTGGTTCCTCCCCCCCCTGAACCTCCTCATCACCCGAAGGGTGGTCGTATAGGTATGAGACTGATCGGGCCGCATCGGCACGGTGTCGAAATCGAATCGGTCCGGCTGCGCCAAGACGCACAACAGCGCCACTGGCAGACATCGGGCCGCATAGGCTTGCCAGAATAGCGGAATCGAATCGGACGGGGTCTGCATCGATGCCGAATCTGGGGAAACCAAACAATACCGATACCGCTACCCCCCGGATTTCTCCCGGGGTGCGCTCTGACCATTTTGAAGCGAATCCAGTGGTGGCGACGAGGACCTCCCAGGAGGCCCAAAAAGGGGAAAACGGGCGAAGGGTAGAGGTATGGGTACCTTTTCCTCTGAGGAATAGCAGAATCGAGTCGGACTGGGCCTGCATCGATGCCGAATAGGATCAGTCGGGCCGAGATGGGCCCGGCTGGGTGTCATCTGCGGCTCAGCCATCCTCTGGTGTGGTCGGGGATGGCACGCGAGGACCAGGCCGCAGGCTGGGAGAAGCTGCCTCGTCCGGAGGAGGGGAGAGTCTGGCCCGACGGCACAGCTGGCGTCGCGTTGAATCTACAGCCGACCCGTATCATAAGGATACAGTGTATCCTTATGATGCTACACATGAGGAGTCTTCATCGTGTATTACACCGTATCATAAGAATACATCTTCATCGTGTATGACACGATGGGGATGCAAGGGCCTCGCAGGGCCGTTTCGAAGCTTCTCGAGCGGGGCGCGGCCAGCGAGAGTGGCCGATGATGCGCAACGGAGGCAAGGATGCAAGGGTACCCTTGGGAAGGGTGCCCATCCTTAACGTGCGGGTCGACTGTAAGCAGTGATATAGACATGGACATCGGGAGGTCCGCGCGGATTTCTTGGGTCGGCGCTGGGGCCTCCTGGCGGCGCCTCTGGCGCTGCCCCTGACGCGCTCCGTGCGCCGGGGAGGGGGGTCCAGCGCCGATCCAAGAAATCCGCGCGGACCCCCGAATACTCATATTCACCATGTTCTTGGTTCCTTGATTGAATCCGCCACTGTGGCGCGGGCACTGAATGGAGTGCCTTCAAGTCCCCAATGCTCCTCAAGACGCGTGGTTCTGGCATCGAATATTGGACTACTCTCAAAGCCCCAGACGCCGACATCGAAAGATTTTCAGGCGCTGCTGCGCGCCACTGTGGTTTGCTGGGCTCCCCCTCCCCACGCCCCAGGAGCCTTCTTGATGACCCCCCAAGCTCCCCAAAAAGCCCCCAGCGCAATTCTAATATTCGCCCGAAGCCGCTTCAATGCAGCCCGTGGCAACTTCCTCCGCACCTCCCGTTGCTTCCTTCTCTTTTTCCGCCTCCGCGATCTCCTTGTCCCCCTCCCCCCCTCCTCCCTGCCCTGCCTGCTCCTCATCTGCCTCTGCCTCCTCTTGCAGCGTGACCCGAAGAGGTCCCCCAATGGCCAATTCCATCAGCCCTGGACCCGAACATGTTGACGTGCCGCTTTCACTCCCGCCGCCTACCGCCTGCATCTCTTAGCCAGAGGGCCCGTCGCCGTTCTAGTTCAGTCGTCTCCAGCATCCGCCGAGGGCGAGGGCGAGGGCGCGCCGAAAGCGAGGCCATGTCTTCTGGAGCGCCCAACGCTGAGTCCCACGCAAAAGCCCCTCTTGCCTCCAGAAGACTGCTCTGCCCGACCCCAGATGGCCACCACTTGCCTTGCGACCAAATCGGCGGCACAGGTCGCCCTCGCCTCCGCGACACGCGGCAGATAACTTGCCCTCTGGGGCGGAGCTGCGCGACCCACCCCATCCAGCTTTGTTGCGATTCTTCTACGACCGCCCACCATGCTGAGAAACAGAGATCTTCACGACATCTGTTCGGCATCGGCCCCCAGACCTCCCTCGGAGCCATCTTTAGAAGAAGAAGAAGAAGAAGAAGAAGAAGAAACGACACAAACATAAACTTGTGGCGCTCCGCGCGGATTTTTTGGATCCGCACTGGACCCCCCTCACTGGAGCGCAGAACGCGCCGGGGGCGGCGCCGGAGGCGCCGCCAGGGGGGGGCCCAGCGCGGATCCAAGAAATCCGCGCGGACCGTCGAACATGTTCGTTTATTACGTTTTTTTCTTCGATTC